ATATTAACACATTAATAACACAACAATTCTAACAACTTTTTGTTACAAAGTTTGACAACACAGTATCCACAGTACAATTAAACAGGTTTATTATATTATTAGGTAATTTATATAATTTGTTCATATATTTTATAAGTTTATATACTTATATTATTTATTTATCAACAAGCAAGCCTGCTCACCAATAACAAATATAATTTCAGGCTCACAAGGAGAATAAAATACAAAAAAAAAAAAAATATCGATAAATTTACCGAAACGATTGATTAAACTTCCACTATTAACTTAACGAATTAATTATTATTATAATATTTTATTTATTATTTTTGACGAAGTGGTCAGTTCGACCATCGGGTCAAGACTAAATATTTTCTTCCTTCCTTCCGGCTGCCGGGAACGCCATCAATGTGTTCTTCGTCAACACAACACGACGGCCAAAAGTTTCAATTTCAAAATCATCACGGAGGAAAAACATATGATTTGAAGCAATGGAAAGCATTGTTGGCCAAACGACGGCTTGGCTTCGATAGTATAATAGTGCTTCACGTTTTCTAAAAAAAATACGAGTTGTCTTAGAAAAAATGATAGAGAATTTTAAGAGCCTTTGGAGCGAATTGCTGCTCCAATGTACAAAAAATGCAACAACGCACAAGCACAAAGCAGTTCGCTTCATACAGGGCAATAAAACACATTTACCCAAAAATATTAGGTATTATTTTCAGTACAAGTTTAAGCGCCAATAAGAAAGGACATAAGAAAGTACCCGCGTAACTCGCGAAACCAGTTAAATTTCAAACAAAATAGATTAAGTTATGTATAACTAAATCATAAGTAAATAAATTAGTGAAACAAATATGTCAACAAGAGTTTCATTATAAACCCAATTTTACATTTATGGGAAATGTTCCAGCCTTGTTATTTTGTTATATTTTATTGTTTTTCTAGTAATGTTTTATTATTCAGAAATTTTATTTATTATTTATTAATTTTATTTATTATTATTTGCTTTTATTTTATATTAAATCATTATACTACGGATATATTTTAATGTAATCTATCCTTTGCACTCTTATTTATTTAATCTATGTTATTATTTATCATTATGTTAATTAAGCTAGATGTTGATTATTTAACAGTTGTAATGTAGTAAATATCGTAATTAAAAAAAAAAGATTTGAATAATTAAGAATGAAACTTTTAAAATTAATTGAATGTTTAACTACGTTAAATATTTAGGAAAAAATGGTTTTAATATTTGTTTAATATTTTTAATGCTTAATAAAAGTAGTTGATTTTCAATATTTAATAAGAGCAGTTAATTTTTGAAATAAAAAAAAAAAATTATAAAAAAAATTACGTTATAATTATAACAAAATTTGTTGAAAATTTTGTACAATTCAGATTATAATTAAAATTTTGAATATTTTGAAAATTTTGGATAAAAATAATTCAAAAAAAAATTAGAAAGAAAAATATGTATGATGATAATTAAATTAAATCTAAATTTTGCATAATTATTAAAAAAATATATAAATAAAAAGTTTTGAATAATTAAATATTAAAAATAAAAAAAAACTGAACTGAATTAAAATAGAATGAATCCAATATAATTATAAATAAAATTATAATTGGAATATCTTGAAATTGAATGAAAACGATAAGATTTAGAAAAAATATATATTTAGCAATGTTAATTATTAATGAAGATTAAAGTAAGGTAATAATTTTAAAGGATTTATATAATAAAAATTTTAAAATTTGATATTTAAAGCAAAATTTTTAAATTTTAAATGAATTTAAAATAAGCTTACTAAAAAAATTAAAATTGCAAAAAATAAATTGAGGATTTTTTTTATAGGAATTTTAAATATTTTAAAATTTTTGAATAGTATCAAAAAAATATATTTGTTAAAATTTGAAAAAAAATGAGCTGAATATGTTGTAGAATTTTGGTTATAATTAGAATCTTCATTTTGAATAAAAAAAATTATTAGAAAAAAATATATAATAATTATTGAAAATGTTAATTATTCAAGAAAATTAAAATAAATAGATAAGGATTGAATGACATTTAAGAATTTAAAAAACAAGAAATTAAAATAATTAAAAAAAAATAAAATTAAAAAAAATAACATTAAAATTAAAAATATAATACAAAAATAAAAATAAAATTAAAAAAAATATTCAAATTTTAATATTTTATTATTAATTTAAAAACAAAATAAAATAAAAAAAAGAAAATCAAATCTAAAAAAAAATAATTATAATTAAATATTGATTAGAAATTTTTTTACAATTTATTATTTTTTAAATCTATTTTTCTTTTAATTTAAATTATGATTATTTTTAAAATGTTGAATACTTTTAGAATTTAAAGTTTGTTTAGAGTTTGAAATATTTGTAAAATTATAAAATTTAACTATTCCAATATTTTAAATTTTAGAACATTTCACAAGGCTAATGTGCGACTACTTCTAAGAGGGTTTGTCAACATCGACCAATTATATATATATATATATATATATATATATATATATATATATATATATATATATATATTGTATTATATAACAATAATTGGTTTGTTTGGATATCTGTGCTCAATAAGCATAATACCCTAGTCTCTGGAATAGATTCTGAAAGTGGTCTCAAAACACAAATAGATCACAACAGACAATCGATTCATCTCTGGTTCTCAAACTTGAAATTATGTAAGCATTATTATTAGCTTCCCGAAGGAGAAGCTTATATTTTTGTCAGAAAATCTGTTCTAATCATTTTTTGGTTTTCTCAACGTTTCCAGCCAAACAGAATCGCTTGTGACCAAAATTAAAATTGAAATATTAAATGTCAATGAAATGTGGTCTAATTATAAAAATTTGGAATAATCGGATACACTTTATTATCATTACTTTTATTTTGTAAAAAAATATTTAAATTTTTATCATCATAAATTGTCTAATATCTATTTTATTTCGTTTATTCACACGTCTATGGATTTGGCCTGAAGGCAAAATGCCACTTACACCTAGTTTTCATGTACTATTTAGTTTATATATTAAATTGTGAAAAATATAATACCTGGTAGAACTACATTATGTCCAGCATCAACTTTTCTTGGTTTTAAGTCTATTTATAGAGCGTTTCCGACGGTTTTGTAACTACAGGATACCGGGTTCAAATCCACGTTGCAAAGAAACTGATGTTGCAGCTAAATGCCAAATAAGGCATATGTCTTTATATATAAAAATGGATCTAATAATTGGTATGCTAAAACTCTGCTGGTCTTGAAATATTTGTGGTAGTCGAAATCTGGTCTGGCTCTTCTAAATCTAATTTATTCCTGTCAAAATGTTTTCTCTCAAAAGCAAAAAAACTATGCCAACTCTTTTTCCAATTTCAAAACCACTCTTATACTCGTCTTTCGGAATGGCCGAGTCAAAACAATTTTCAGCCACCGTTTTTCAAGTTCAAAAAATAGCCAGAAGTCATACAATGCTAAATCAAGCAAATGTGGTGGTTGCGGAATGATATTTGTTGAATTTTTGCAAAATCATCACTAAGATCGAGTGCAGTGTATATGATGATGCATTATAGAAGTACATTGAGCCATTTGAAAATCCAATAGTATGAGCAAACTCTATAGTAATCAATCAATCATTTTGCAGTATCAATTCTTCGACTTTTTGACTTGTAGACCATCAGTAGATGTTCTTGGTCGTATTTAATGTGATTCGTCTCGGCCTTCTTTGAACAATTTGTGCCAATCAAAAACAATTGCACTTGACATTAACATCTCACCAAACGTCTTTTAGTTGACATTAACTTCTCACCAAAAGTTGAATAATTTCAAACATTATGAAAATCAAAGAAACAACTTCTTTTTGCTTGCAAACAGAAGCGTAACTAATACACCAACCAATGAATCAATTGCCATAAAATTAGACACAAGTACCATCTTCTTAAAAATGAAACCATCTGCCAGGATCGTTAAACTGGACAGTTTAAATTGATACATTACTGCCAGTGACATATTATCTTTTCTAGCTGTTGCCCTTTTCCTTGATCTGCTCTTTCCTGATATATTCTTGTCTATCTTGTCCCAATATTTGATCGTTGTAGTCACAGTTCCTATAACAATTTCCTGCCAGTGACATATTCTTTATATTTTCCAGCTGTTGCCCTTTTCCTTGATCTGCTCTTTCCTGATTATCCTCTTATCTATATGTAAAGCCAGATATTTGATCGTGTCAGTCGGTTCTAAAACGTAAGCATCAACACTGACTGCAGAACATGTTCTTTTGTAGAGTGCTAGTATGTCTCTATCGACAATGTAAATAATGTATAATATTTGGAAGCAACAAAACTACCTTGTGGCACTCCAAGGCATACTTTACCAAGGCAGATAAGAGGTGAACTCTTTTGTTGACCTCTGTCAACATGTATGTCTGTATCGTTAATGTAAATGGTGTATAATAGATGGATGCAATAAAACTACCTTGTGGTACTCCAAGGCATATCTTACCAAGACAGATAAGAAGTGAACACTTGTATTGATAACATGGTTCTATTTTTCATGTATAATTTTATGATTATTCCATGATGAGATATAGACCTTTTTACACTTTAATATGAGATTTAGGTCTTTTAAAAACGTTGAAACTTTACACTTTCAACACTGACTAGAGAACATGTTCTTTTTCAGAGTGCCAGTATGTCTGTATGATCAGTGTAAATGATGTATAATATCTGGAAGCAATAAAACTACCTTGTGGCACTCCAAGGGATATCTTACCAAGGCAGATAAGAGATAAACTCTTATGTTCACAAAAAGTTTCTATTTTTCATGTATGATTTATAATTATTCCATGATGAGATATAGGCTTAATTATACTTTATATTTGTTCTAGCAGGATATCTGTATAAAACTTTGCATTTTCAACATTCATCATCGGTTTTAAAACATTTAGCAGATACGATGCAAGCTTCTTTAAACAGTTTCAAGAATTTGTAGTTAGATGTTGAAGTAATATTTTTGATAATTCAAACGGATCGATTATCACTATACTACTTTTTACGTACAAACTTCTGAAATCTTCATCGTGTTCTAATTTTAATTTATACCTTTCATATTCGAAAGGTATGTTTTCAGATTTTGCAAAGTCCTGTCTATTGTGTGAAGTGCCAGTTAGCGGGCTTATTACTTCTTGAAAATCAAAATTTTTATAAAATTCAAAAAAATCCCCCAATAAATTAAACAAAGTTTGTTTATTTTCTATTTCAAACTCTACATCTTTTTGGAACTCGGTGTTCCATTCACCATGGTCAGAGGTAGAAGACTGCAAATAATATACAGATGGTAACATATGCTTTTGCTGCAAGAAGAAAACAGTCATCATTGCGAGAGCGTAGCTGGATAATGCATGTCTTCTTAAAAAATTCAGTTTTGCAGCCCAGTTTTTAATCAGTAACAACAGTGGTTTAATACGTTCATCCAAAGATTGAAAATGAATTAACAGCGCTGTATTTGAAACTTCAAAAGAACCTTTAAATTTTATATCACAGTTTAAACCAGTAGGACGATGTTCGCATTTAATTAAAGGAATTTTGGCTTTCAGTACACCTAGAACATTGTCAAATTCGTCATTTTCCATAAGTATTTCTATGCATTGTTTCAGGTGAGTCATGCACTCTTCGGAATCCGTTACAGGTGGTATCAAGTCCACGTGCATATCAATATCAGACGTTTTGAGGAATAATCCTGTTGCCGAAGACCCAAAATTGAATATTTTGCATGGAAAATGTGTATTCAGCACTGATGACAAATATTGCAGAACAGTTTCAAATTTTTTTGCCTGTTCTTCTGTGCTTCCTTGTAAGTATGGTACAAGATCTGCTACCATCATATCGAAAGGTTTAGTGGATGATATTATTTCTATAAGTGCATTGTCGAATCCACATTTGTTATTGATTATTTTAATATTTACAAGTTTTGTTCCCAAATATAAATATTGGGGGATTTGAAAAAATCCTGCTTCTTCTTTCTGAAATTGGATTTCCATCTCTGACTCACTAATGAAGATATGTCTTGAAATACAACCATATAGGTGAAAAATGGGTGCTTTTAAGTCCCGTGGACATGACTTTGGTAAATTGTAACAGAAACTGTGCTAAAACTAAACTGTGTTGTTACGTCAAATTTTTCCTGCAAAATTCGCATTTTGGATTTGCCATCGTTTTTTCTTCTCAGACTTATATGGACAGACTAAACACTACCAGCTTTCCAAGTAATTGGACAATATCTGAACAATTAAAACTTTTAAACCAATACTAACTTCACTAATACACTTTTGATTAGCAATACTCAATTCATTTGTTTCAATGTTCTTTTGACATTTGATTCCATAAACAATATTGATGAAAATTGATACTAAACTCTCTATGTTTTTCCCTATGTTCTACTCATTTCTACTACTCTACTTTTATCTAATCTTCTTTTATCTATGGTTCTGCTCTATGTTCTACTCTATGTTCTTCTCTATGTTCTACTTTATGTTCTACTCTATGTTTATGTATATATGTTTCTCTTTGTTTTGTGTCAATCTACATATATTATGTTATCTATGCTTATTATAATAATTTTTGTAATGCATGTGATTAGTATAAAATACATAATCAGTTAGTCTGTGTTATCCTTCAGCATGAACGGTTGTTTTATTATTCACATAAACTTTAACATAAATTCTACAAATATCAATTTTTTACATTAAAAATCAATTTATGATTGTGCATATATATAATAATCTCTATATAAAAATAGTGCTCGATACTAACAGTTAGTCTTGATATATTCGTGAAATATTAAAGTAAACTAGTGGGGTGTGGCATCGTGCTTTAAGGCAAATTGCTGGAACTTCCCGTACAGTAACAAAATGTTCGAAAAATATTAAATGTTTTCGAATAGATTATTATAAATAGTGTAACATTGTCTAATATTTATAAGATTTATATAAACTGAATTACAAAGTTAAAATTATTTATTTAAAGTATATAAGTGAGCTTTAGAACTTTAGCCTTAATTAAAATTAAATCGCATATTTTCGATACACAAAAAAAATTTTTTGAGAAATTGGAATATGGAATAATTTTTTCCCAAAAGCAATTATTTTGTTGAAACAAGCAGAAACTTTTTAAATCATTCAAATCGGATGCTTGGTTCTTTAAAAAAATTCCATTTTTTGCACATTTAACTCGTTATCTCCGAAACAGCTGGACCTGCCTTTGCCAAAATCTAATCACCACTTCTCCTCGTCATTACAAATTGAATGTTTTTAGATCATTCAAATCGGATACTCCCTTCTATCAAAAACTCGATTTCTCTTTTCTGCACTCTTTGCTCCGTATCTCCAAAACGGCTGGACATGCCTTTGCCCAAAACTAATCAGCACATCTCCCTATCAATAGGAATCGAATGCTTTTTGAACCTTTCAAATCGGTTGATCCATGCGCCCGCAAACGTAAACGAAAAATTTTATCCATACATACATACACACACACATACACACACACATCCATTTTTTCTGAGGTATGCCAAAATGTTCAGAAACCTTCAAAACGTCGAGAAATTTAAAAATTTTCAATTTCGATTTTTAGACGATTACAATAAGGAAAGTTAAAAAAAAATTATAAAATAATTTTTTTTATTTATAATCAATGATAGTGAGTGATATATTTATAGAATAAAAATTTATTGTGGAAGACAGATCAATTGATTATTCTAAAGTCGGATTGATTAAGTATATTATTTGCATGGTAAGTTCATGCAACTTGTCTTAAGGCTAAATGCACTTTTAACTAGTTTTTTCTAAAATGTAATTAACTTAAAATTTTATTTTATTCAAGAATTATGGCTCCTAAGTTAGCCCAATTACATCAATAAGAAGAGAACCTCCAAAATCGGTCCAGACATTACATATATTGAAATGGCTACTTCAATATGATAACAACCGCACCAATTTTATTTATGTAAATATGTCTAGATATATGCATTTAAATTTTGCAATCCTATAATATAAGTTTGACAAATTATCTAATTGCTATTTCAAATAGTGTGAACACTGTACCCATTAATGCTATTCAGAAAAATGCATATCACTACTGGTTCCTTATATACCTTCACTGAAATTTAAACATATATAAATAATAAAATAATAAATAATAAGGAGAAAATGTATTTGTGACTACAAATTTTATTAAGGAAAATCACATAGTTAGAAAATAATTAGAAGTACTTGAAAGCCTCCATCTTGTCAGTGTCAAGCTGTGGCCACCATTCTGGTTTTGCTTTCAACATATGAACTCTCAGTAGCTTTCTTCGGTCTCAAAATATATAAAAGATGACTTAAGCTCCCTCCAGAGCTCATAGTCGACCTTATACTTGATCGACTCATTATCATCTCTCTTGTCCACGATCCTTATTGTCACCTTGTTTTTTGCCAAGTACCCGTCAATTTGGAGATTACTTGGCAAATCGTCCGACAGCATCAACTCCAGATATACTTTTTCTCTACTTTGCCGCCATTGGTATGGCGATAGTGCAGGAATTGCGTTGGAATCCATCGCTTCTTTTTAGTAAAAGAATCGTAAAAAGATGCTTTATTTACAAGAGTAGGGACTTTCAACTTTTTTATCCTTCACAATTGGAGTCACTTGTTTTGATTTCTTGGCGTACGTGCATTTCGTATTTATCCGTAGGCAATACACAATGTAGATATGTCACTTTTGGATTTTGAAGTTCAGAGAAAAATAACGGCGCTGTTATCGCAATTATTAAATTATTAAAATACAATAAATACACTCTTCTTTTATCTATGATACAAACTACATTTGTCAGAATCAGACAATACTAAATCTCTGGCAACTCCGAAAGGAGAAAATTCTGAACTTGTATATAAGCGCTAATCATTTGCATTTACGGGATTATGGTTAATTTCCGTGTTAGTTTAATGTGTTTTTCGAGTGGTATCTGTTATTTATGTGAATAAATACTTTTATTAATTGCAACCAGTGTTCTTTATTGTGTTTAAATTAACTGTAAATGTAAAATTTCTGTAATAGGTTGAATTTGAGAGGTCCATCGTTAAAAAAAAA